GGAAGTGTTTTACTCTTAGCCAATTTGCAAACAGAACATGAAATAGAGGTATTAGAAACATTTTTATTCCCCAACAAACCATTTTTAAATAAATGGGACAAAACAACAGAGTTTGGATGACCTAATTTTCTATGTCAATCCTCATAAGAGTTTAAAACATTATTACAAGCAAAAGATATATGATTAGAAATAAACTGGAGAGAAAACAGTCTTCCCACTTTAGGCCCCTTCGCGACCACCTTCCCCGATACCTGCTCCTGCACAAGACAACCATCACGAGAAAAGTTAACATCATAATTTTTATCTACCAATTAACCAACAGATAATAAATTAGACGCAAGTCTAGGCAATACAAGCACGTCCTGAAAATAAGAATTTATGTCTCCAATATCAGTAATAGATAAAGTATTACCATCAGCTATTTTTAATTGAACAATGTTAGATTCAATCATTCCACCACTGCTTGACCTTTGGAGACTTACGACCTATAGCGGAAAGGAACTGACATGCTCTTAGAAGAGAAAAGCCGATTGGAAAAAAGAAAGGGATTGGTTGGTGTTTTTTACCTTAAAAAAGGAATTAAAAGATTTAGACGTTTTACGCATTTTCCGAGAAAAAAGAAGGTTTTTGTTTTAGATGCAAAGGATGCAAAAGAAAAGAAAACATCTAAGGGATACTATCTAAATCTAATCCCTAATGTTATCTTACAATGATTGATCATAAGATTAAGTTTTGAAGGGAAATATCTACCCTATGTTGACATGCATGGATAACAATCCTAATGTCTATCTCAAATCATCATCTATAGATGAATCAAGAAGTCCTAAAGGAGCATATCAATGGTTTATCACCTAAAACTACATCTATCTCGAATCATCATCTATAGATGAATCGAGAGCTCCTAAGGGAAAATGCCGAGGGTATATCATCTCAAACCATGCATACAAAGATGAAATCAAAAGTAAGTCAATAGGATCAAGAGAGCATACACAATGTGTAATGAGTAGCACACGCTAACCCATGTTAAATTCCTAACCAAGATATTGAGGATCAAGGTAGGAAAACAAATCAATAATCAAAAGGCTCAAGAGAGCACACCTAGAGAAATCCTCTCTAGGCTAGCATGCCAAATAAAGTCTAACAAAACTATCCTATGGGGAACATGCAATGAGAGCGAAGTCTTGATCTTAATTTCTAAATTGAGTGACTCATCGATCAACAAAAAAACAAAGGAAAATGATAAAATCCTATAAGTAGCATGCACTGAGAGCGAAGTCGTGATCTCTATTTCTAAATTGAGTGACTCATCGATCAATAAGAAATAAAGGAAAACGATAAAATCCTATATGGAGTATGCACTGAGAGCAAAGTCATGATCTCAATTTCTAAATTGAGTGACTCATCAATCAACAACCAAGGAAGCAAACACAAGCATAACACATATAACAAGTAAAGTGCGGAATGCCTGCTACAGGTCTTTAAACAACGACTTTGCCACTATGGGGGCTCCCAAAACTATCTAGAAAACTGTAAAGAGTGAAAGAAACAAAAAGGAAGCAGTGCAATACCAAATGGATAATAATTCGTAGCAAGCAAGCAAAAATAAGAAACTCGGAGAACTTCGAGTAAGCTAGCATCATCAAACAAAGCAAGTCAGAAATCAGATGTCCAACATAAGCCTCAAAGCAAACAGTGTGAAAATAAATCACAAAAATGATGTGCATCGGACACCATCACAAAAGTCATCCTGCATAAAAATACAATCCAGACAAAAACACAACAAATATGTGTATTCCTCGAGTCAAGAGAATCAAAGTATAAACTTGTGCGAATCGCATATGTATCTCGCAAGTAAAGTGAAATACGGATGAAATAGGATATCAAATTCATGTTCCCCAAATAAAGTGGAACGTGAATTAATATCATTATGAGAATCCCTTAATATGAGTCCTTGAACAACCAACACACATGTCAAAAATAACAAGGAAAAACTAAACCAAAAGAGAAAACACAATGAAAAATGAAACAAAATAAAAAAAGAGCAGTTGCTACTTTTTGACTTGGGAACCCGGTTACCAGAGTTTGGGTAACCGGTTACCCTAACCCAAGAATCCGAGAAAATAACTACTGACATGAGGTAACCAGTTACCATAACTGGGTAACCGGTTACTAAAATTTTGAAGATTTTATAAATTTGCTTCTGACTTGGGGTAATCGGTTACCATAATTGGATAACCGGTTACCACGTAACAATTTTGAAATTTTTTGTGAATGAAATGGATGGTAACCTGTTACCATAACCGGGTAACCAATTACCCTCGTATCCGAGGCAGTTTTAACAAATTTTTGAGCATTTTCAATGACTTGGATATTTAATCAAACACAAAGTCTCCATGTATACAACACATGGTTTTGCATAATTCATGGTTTAGATTCAAATAACACATGATTGATATAAGATCAACAATTAGGCTTCATACAACATCAACCATTTGATTTAACAATTAAGCACTTTCATGAAACAATCACTTAAGTTGAATAAGCACTTAATTCAATTATCCAATCCCAGATTTACACATGATTGTCAAATCAATTCATAATTCTAGCACTAGATCTAAGTTCTCATTTCAAAATTCAACCTAGATTCAATTCATGCTTGATCAAAAAAGTGCTTCTCAAATAATCACTTATTTCAAAAGTACTTAATTCAAGAAAGCTCGCCGATAGAAGTGAAGAGGAGACTTATGTATAGAGATCTAAACGAACGGATCAAAGATCGAAGACGAATTACTCTTGATCTTGACTTTATATTCTTGATAAAATTGATGTTGTGTTCTTGATCAAAAGGTAGAGAAAACTTTGATTTGATCCTTGAGAATTGAGAGAATTGTTAGACTTGTGTTTTTGAGAATTGGTGAATTATGAGAGCCACCTCCTTTGAAAATTCAGATTTCAAGATTATATACATGGGCTAATTGAGCCTTGGATGAGAAATTGAATTGGGCCTCCATTTGACAGTATAAACTCGATATGCACAAAAAGTGCCACGTCATCATCCGTAAGAAATCTCGAACCGACTCCAAAATGAAAAATGAAGATCATCAAATTTGTGATGCATATCCGAATGAACGGGCTCAATCGGATAAAAGAATAGGAAGTTATGAATTTTGGAAGTTTCACTGATATTGTGTTAGGTAAAATGATTTCCTATGCAATATTTTTATTGCATCACACGCGGAACGGACTGAAAATGGAAGTCTTCGAGTCATCGTATGATTTTGGAATATGAAGAGAAACTGTAGTAGACAAAATTTGTGAACCAACGCCTCCGGTTTCAGCTCAATATGATAAAAATCAATGGAGATGCAAATTTTACCATATCAAACATTAATACAAATGAATTTCGGTTCAGCACAAACATGTCTTCAGAAACTCAAAATTCACAAGTCCTTCCTTAGTGAATCATCTTTTGACTTCCAAAGACGATATCAAGATGAAAAAGAAACGAAATATTGGCAACCAAAAATGCGCGCATACGATATTCCGGCCGAGAGTTATGAATTTTCTAATGCACACAAAAACACGATTCAACACACTTTTCTTTGTATTCTTCACTGTATAACTTCCAAGAGAGTTGCATATTGAGAGACCTTTATTCGAGGATTAACTTTTGGTCCGAACATGAAAGTTGGAGAGGACATCCAGAAGGATTCAAAACCTCAAGAATCAATCCAAAACACCATTCTGAACGGGGGATATGAATTTCCAAACCCAAAAAAGTTGAAAAACGGTTTCTTATTCGCACTGCTTAAAATTCACCGAAAACACCCAAATCTTTCACAACTCGGCATGCTTTGAAAAATATGAGAGCTTTGTTGCGTTGATGAAATTCTTTGATCTCATGTGTATGGATCCAATGATATGCATGCATGTATATGTGTCATACCCCATTTTTTAGCCCTAATTTGTTCATTCATAACATCATATGTATTTACATCATAAATCTTTCATTCATTTGAGATCTTAAAGCATGAGATCAAAAAGGCTCTTGACACTAGGGTTTTTCCTATGGATTGAGGTTGTTACCTTCATCATGTTAATTCAATTGGTTCTCTTATCACTTTTGGTATAAAACTAGGGTTTTGGATCTACAAGCATCATGGATATCCTCCCTGGCTTTCTCCTCAAGGCTATAAGGATCATCATTCTCTCTATTGCAAGCCCATCATCGTTTAGGACTTCTCCTAATTGATTTCTCCACAAGACATTCTTGTTAAGATGTCTAGAGGATTGAATCAAGGACTTCATTCTTGTGATGTTATTTGTTAAATGGTTAAAGATTGGTTGAAGATTTCTTCAAATCAAGATGTTTCTGGCTGCTTAAGCTATGAAAAGAAAGGATTGCTCTTTGAATTTTCATTACACTGGAGATTGAGGATCATTGAATTAGTGTGTTCACATTAAGATTATCTTGGTCATATTTCTCTCCACACTTCAAAGCATTATTGTTCTTTCACAGTACTTATTGCTCGTATTGCAAGATAGTATGAATTGAAGATTTGAATTAAGGTTTTATTGGAGGTGATTTGAAGATTCACTCAAGAAATGTGATTAATTCTAGATTAAATCAAGAAAATTCATGTAATGTTTTGTATGGAATTCAAATTTGATTATCCAAAAAATCACTCAATGTCAATACAAATTCAAGTCCATTTATGAGAATTTATTTAAAGGAGAGTTACTTGAAATTTAAGGCATTCTCATTCAACATTGTTTCAAGATTAATCTTAAAATATTATTCAATTGTGCAGGACATAATTCATTCATGTGGATTTGTTTTTGATTCAAGATGTTCTAAAAGATTTCTTTTTATGGTGCAAGATAGCTAAATTTGGAAGATCCATTCATGTCGTTTTCTTGGAATTCAAATAAGTGCAAGATGCAAGATTAAGGTTAAGGCGTAGATCTTTCAACATTCATCATTAGAAAATTCATTAAAAATGAATTCAAGACTCCATAGTCCATATCACGACATGATTCCAAATGAAAGTTCTGAAAGTAGGTATCATGGTTCGAGTTTCATAGCATACAAATTTTGAGATTCTTAAGAACCAATTCAGGCATTACAAGGCATTCAAGTTCCATGTTGATTTCAAGATACAAACATATTCAACAATTTAAAAAAAAAATCAAATCAAGATTCAATTTACATGTTCATTCAAGAGGTATCCAATATTCCATTTCCCCCCAAAATTACAATCAAAATTCATTCAAATTGAAGTCAATGTCCAATGTTTGAATGACTCAATTCCTACAACGCTTATCATTTACAAAAACAACTTGTCCACGTCCAAATAGCTTTGAAATTAATTCAAAAGCCAATGCTATTCTTCTAAAACTCAGTCACTGCTCATGAAATAATATGAGTTCACAATCTGTATCAAAGTTGCCTAAACCGTGCCTTGCATCACATGAAAAAAATAGGGGTTGCACTCAAAAATCAGTTGGAGAATAAAGCTAAATTAGAAAAAATCAGAAGAAGAAAAAATAATAATAAGAAGGAAATTCATTTACAGCTCAGTAATACAATCAAAACTTGCACAAGAAGCTACTTCAACAAAAATAAACCAGAGGCAATCTCAACCTTTGATTCAGGTAGCAGGATTTCAAAATCAAGGGATAAGATTCTCTTACCTATAAGAAGCTTCTCACACAAGCCAAACAAACGAATATATAACAGATTTATCTTCAGATCCAGAAAAAAGAGGACAGTATTTCATTTTCTGCAGAAAAACTTCTCAGAGAAGTTGCAGAGTTCTCTCTGAAATTCTCTGAGGCTTCAATGAGGGGTTCTCCAGAAATCGAATAGCAATTCCATATAACACTGCAGCAAAAAACGAGAAGTAAATTTATGGAAGAGATTTGAAGAAGATGAATTACCAATTAAACGTGAATTCAAAGGGAGAAAGTGAGATATTTGTACCTGAGTTTCCACAGAAAGTGCTTTCTGATTTTCCCATCATCTTCATCAATTAGAAGAACCGACTGTAGCTGCTCCGATAGAATCTCTGAAAAGAATTGTCATCTTCACTTCTCAAATACTTCAGTACCTGAACCATGCTTCAACAACACCTCGCATCACTACGTCGTCTTCATTCTTCCCTGCAGCAACATTATATCATTATGTGATCAATGCCTCAGCCGCAACAATTTATGCAGAATGCATTAAAACGCATTGCAATCGAAGAAATTCATAAACGAAAAAATATAGCGAGTAATGGAAAGAGATGAAGAAGAATTAAAGGAAAAATGCGTTCACCTCTGGTTTTCTTGTTCTCTCAAATTGAAGGTGCACCAGACGATTCTCCGGTTGGTAAGACTTGCATCCTATTTTGTTCTTCGTTTTGCACATATTATTTTCCTGGCGTTGAATCTGTTTTTACGAAACCGAAAACTCCTTCTTCTGTTCCTTGCGGGTTTTGATTCGATTGAATGCGAGACGAGATTGGAGACTGAGAGCGGAGCCTTGTGAAGGGCAAATGAAAAACTCGGCGAAACTAAACAGAAGTGACACAGTGCTTCGAGAATGAAGTGATGAATATCGATGCCGTAATGATCTTCATCGGAGAAGGTGTTGAATGCATGTCCATAGCGGCGCATTTGTGCGGATTGAAGAAGATGAGTGGAACCTGAACAGACGAACAAAGGAGATGATGGCTCTGAGAAGAGATCGATGTAAGAAGTAAATCCATCGCATCGAAATGAAGCGGAACGATGTCTGGGAAGCCAGAAGGCGGAGGTAGTGATCGGTTGTGTTCCGAAGGAGATGATGACGTCAGCTTGAGTTGAAAGAGTTGATTCGCGACGACGAGATGAGTTGAGATAAAGAGATTGAGATAAGCTGGAACGATGCACTCTCTTAACCCTAAGCAAACCAAAATGTTGTGTTGCCAATCCTTTCTCCATTTAATTTTTTTAATTAAATAAATATGAGATAAAAAAGGTGAATACAAATTTGAATAAATTGGTTGGACCTGATTTGCTAAAGCCTTAGGCTCTTAGTGTAATATCTCATTTTAATTAATAATATTTATATTATTATTTTTTTTAAAATTACCGATTGATATTTATTTTGGTAAATTAATAATAATTTAGTCGGTTATTCGGTCCGATAATTGATTAAATTGATTTATTCGGTTTATCAGAAAATGATTAATTTTATAGGATAACACCGTATTTTTGATGTGTATATATCAATATGTGTGTTAATTGATTAATTAATGATAATTGAATTATTAAAGTATTTATTTAATTATATTAAATTAGTTTAATAACATATTAGTTTTATTTTATATATATATATATATATATATATATATATATATATATATATATATATATATATATATATATATATATATATATATATATATATATATATATATATATATATATATATATATATATATATATATATATATATATATATATATATATATATATATATTAAGTTAGTTTTATAATATATTATATATAATAGTATATATGTTATGTTAGATAAGTTAGAAGTTAGTAAGAAAAGAAAAGAAAGAAACAGATAGAAGTGAGATAGAGAGGAGAAGAAAAGAAAAAGGGAGAAAACTTAGGGTTGAAGAGGAGAGGAAGTTGCTATAGAATAAATCAACCAACTTGCAAGATCAAAGCTACAAGAGGTAAGGGTTTGACTTCCCTAATTATGTTGTATGTGATTTTTAGTTTTGGAATAGGAATTATTTTAGGATTTTAAGATAGATGATGGTGTGTTCTTTTAGATTGTTTAGTGAAACTGAAATGGAAAGGGTTAATATCGGAGTAGTATTAATCGGTTAATAAATAATTAATGATTGAGCCTATAACTATGAATCAGCGAGGGATTGTTTAAGTTGGAAATAAGCGGAATGAGTTCCGTTCGGTCTAATTTGCCGGTATAGGCGGTAAAAAATTAGTTATCCGGAATTTAATGAAAATCGACATGGTAACTAAGTTTGACGAGTAGATAATTATGGTTGTGTTATTTTGTCGAGATTGAAACGTTTTCAAGGACTAACCGGAATTATGTTTGGTTTGGATAAATTATGGAAGTAACATTGTTTAAACTTGTATGCTACTTGATTTGTGAATTATATTTGCAATGCATGTACAATTGTTGATATTTCATTGTGTTGGAATATGTGGTATGTGTATGTTAAGGTCGGGAGTGGTCTTAATTACATACGAGTTGTTGATTGTACATTGCATGACATGGTTGGTCTTGAAATAGAGACGGTGAAACAGTGGGTTCACATTTTATAGACGTTGATCCTTGAATGGAAATAGACGTAGTGGCTTTGACCCGGAAAGGGAACATAAGCGGTGAAACTTGGGTTCACAAAAATAGACGTTGATCCTAGAGTGGAAATAGACGTAGTGGCTTTGATCCTATGTGGAAAAATAAGCGGTGGAACTTTTGGTCCACAAGTCGGTACCACATTTGCATTGGTTGCATCGAGTTGTGAGTCACATACATAATGATATATATTATGATTTTATGTGAAGATGATTGAGTTTGTGAAATTGGCTATGATGTGTGAATGAGTGTGATTATATGGTTAGCTTGTGAAAATGGCCCCTCATGTTTCTATGTTTGTTTAAAATTGAATAAAATCGCATTTTCGCATATAATTTTTTGCTCTCTGTCTTTTCTTATTTTCGTAAAATAAAAATGGCAACGCTTTTCCCTTTAACTCTTTAACCATTTTCCAATTTGCATTCATATTCTAAAATAAGGCATGATTCATCAATCATGCATGTCTGCCTTGAATTCCATTAAAAACGATGATGTTACAGTTCCTCGAACCAATATACTTGGAAACCCGAATGACCAAGCCGATGAAGATAGTGGGGAGGATTGTGAAATTCCAGAGGAATTGGAAAGACTGTTGAGACAAGAAGAGAAAACAATCCTGCCTCATCAAGAAGCCATTGAGATCATCCACCTTGGTACCGATGTAGTGAAAGTGAGGTTAAGATAAGGGCCTCTTTGCAAGATAATGTAAAGAAAGGGTTGATTGAGCTTCTCAGAGAATGCTCCTACATCTTTGCCTTGTTGTATGAAGACATACCTGGTTTGAATACTGATATAGTTATGCATCATTTGCCACTCAAGTCAGAATGTCCTCCGGTAAAGCAAAAGCCGTGGAGAACTCGTCGAGACATGTATCTCAAGATTAAAGAAGAGGTTGAAAAGAAGGTGAATGCATGATTCTTGTTGCTATACGAATACTCGAATTTGATTGGTAACATCATACCCCTTCCTAAGAAAGATGGGAAGGTGCGCATATGTGTGGATTATCGGGATTTGAATAAAGCAAGCCCAAATGATGACTTCCCATTACCTCACATTGATGTATTGGTTTATAATATGGCTCGGCTACGACCAATTGTTGGCCTTTGTCGAGGGGATACCCCTGATCCAATGTGTGGGCAAGGGGGGAAAGCCTATTATTGGAGAGGATGGGAAGCCTGTGTTCAAGCCATGGACTTATTAATGTCAAAGAGCTCTCAAATGCGACGAACCTTTGAAATATTTAGGTAGTTGTCCCGTACTTGACTTGATTTGCATGTATATTTGGTTATCTTTGTTTGCTAATTTCAACTTGTTATGTTGCAGGAAAAATGAATGTTGCTCAGGAGCGTTTGGTTAAGAATGTTATTTCCAAGGATAAGAAGGCTCAAAAGACGGTTGCCAAGAGTCTCTTGGGCGGTGATGGAGCAGGTGTGCCTCCGATTGGACCAGGGAACTCTTCGTCTGGTCCAGTTACTGGGCAATCTTCTCCTCTTCCAGTGAGCTCAAGACTTAATAGACCCCATTCTAAGGACCTGTTAGACTTGAACGCGAGAAAGGCAAAGAGAGATTTATGCTGCCCTCTGCTTCCACAACAAGACTTTCTTCAAAGGCTCTTCTTTGGGGGTCCACAAGGCAGAGTCCCTGGAATTTAGAGAAATGGACCGCTCGAGCAAGAAGGCCTTGCTAGCTCAGGATGTTGTTGCCTTGATGAGGATTCTGGGCATAGTGGTGATTCAAACCGAGAAAGTGAGTTCCGCGGAGCTGGAGTTGAAGAAAACCCGGGTTGCCTACAACGCTCTCGGGGTAAAGTTTAAAAGCTGATGACTGATAACAAGGAGTTGGCAAAGGCGAAGAAGGATCTGACCAAGGAGAGGGACACTCATACGATTGAGAAGAAAGCTCTCGAGGAAGTGGTGGACGGGCTCAATTCTGCCATGGTCCCTGATGAGGAGGAACCTGACGATGTTAAAAAGTTAACGACCAGGGCCTAGTTTGTTTCTCGTATTCAGCATGCCAAAGAAGATGTTGTGTCGGCTGCTAAAGAAGGTTTTAAGAATGTAGTGGCCCAAATTAGTCAGTTGAATCTGGGTGTTGATTTTGTTTTGACGGGGACTGGTTTCCTTAACAATGTGGTGGATCGCCGTATGGTTGTCCCTGATTTCCTTAAGGTTTGAGAGGATGAAGCGATCGAGCAGCCTACCCAAGGGGAGCATGTGCGTGAAGAAGAACTTCAGCCGTATAATTGACTAGTTTCATTGTTATTCTCTTTGTTTGGCCCGCATGCCATGACTTGTAATATTTGTTTTGGGGCTTTGCCCGTTTTGATTTAATTTTCAAACAGTCGTGGTCCTTGTGGACATTTGCTTATATCTTTTGGATTGGGGCCTTTGGCTCCCTTTGTGTGATCATCTTGACAATTGCGGTCTTCGTGGTCGTTTTCTTTAATCTGCATTGTTTATGTTTTTACTTTTGTTTTTGCATGATTTATTGCTTATATTCATTGAGTGTTTGCATATTTGCATGCTCGTTTGCATATCTTCATGATTCATTTTACTCAAGATTTTTAGGGGGTTTGCTCGTTAGTATTTGAGGCTCGCCAGTGTGGGGAGAGTGGTCGAGCGGCCAGGGAAATTTCTGGGCATTAGCCAGAGCTCAGCTCTTGTTTGGGGCATGAGCTTAGCAGCGTGAACTTCTCATCGCGAGCTAGATGTTATGCTATCATGGTACAACAATAGTGGAGCTCATTTGAGTTTTCCATTTTAGGCTAAGAACCTGTTCGTCAAAAAAGAGTGGAAACTTGCCTCTTTGTTTAATTTGAAGTGCTATGCTTGTACTTGAACATACACACATGGTCAGGACTCTGTGTCTGTCGTCTTGACATAGCACATCGATTGTTTCTATGCCTTAACTGTAATATTATTTCAATTTTTCAGTGTTCCAAGATCGAGCAAGTTATTTCACGTGTAAGTTTTCTAAATAGTAGGCCCCGCTCCTCGATTTTGCAGGAATTCGATAGGTGCCTTCCCAGTTTGTAGCGAGCTTTCCTTCGCGAGAATCTTTGTGATTTCTCTTTAGGACTAGGCTACTGACTTCGAATTCACATTGTATGACTTTGGCGTCATATCGTATGGCGATTTTTTGTTTGAGAGAGGCTTCTCGTAAGGCGTCTCTATGAGTGCTAGAGCCCCTTTTTCTATCTGCTGGTACCTTACTACAGGACCTTGTAAAGCTTTGCTCTTGAAATAGATGGGTTTTTCCCCTCAGAGGTCTCCCAAATGAGGGTTGCACTGACGGCCTTGGAAGCTATAGTAGATAGAGGTAGAGAGTTTCCTCTTTATCTAGTCGCGAAAGGACCGGTGGATGTTATAAATGCCAGTTTAAGATGGAGGGGGGCACATTCGCACTGCTCGATCTACTCGAAGGCTGCCTCTTTGCGAAGAAGTTTGAAAAGTGGAATCGTGTGCTAGGAATATTTTGCCACGAAACGGGATAATGAAGTGAGCATTTCATTTAGAGTTTGTATCGATTTATTCAAGTTTGGCATCAGAAACTTGGAAATGGCTCGACATTTTTTGGGGTTGGCTTCAATTCCTCGTTTTGT